GCTCGCTCAAGAGTTTGAGCTCTGAGCAACAGCGGTTCGAGTCAGCCCGAGCTGAGCAGCCGTGAGCTGCCAACAGGTGGCGGGATGGCTAAGCTAAAAAAAAAAAAAAAGAACGTAAAAAAACAAAACAAACAAAAAAAAAACCTTCTGGACCTGGGCTTGCCATGGACCTGGACATGGCAAGAAGTTGTAAAGCTCAAGGGTTGCAAGTTTGCCCGTGCTTGATATTGTCTATTTCTCACCCCCAAACAAGCTCTGCTAACACCCTGCTACTGCCCGCATCCACCCTGTAATGCTGCATGCATGCACAGTTTCTTTGACTTGCAATAACAATGGTAATTACTTGTACACAGTAATCTTCCCGGATTGCAATAGGGAAAAGCACTCTCAGAAACTCTTTCCCAACATACCCCCAAACAGTGACACCCTCTGCCCAGGCTGGCACTTTCTTCCTTTACTGGGCCATCGCTGCCTTCTCCTTCCCCAAGAACTTAGCATAGCTTTTATTTTAGCTTTTCAATTCTACTCTTACAAATCATTAAGGGAAAACTGGCAATCTGTGCTAATTCACCATCTTGTTCTAATAGCAGTAATTTATGTGAATGATATTTACATTAATTGCAAGCTTACTATGTATCAGGTACTTTAACATATGTTCCCTTCTGTAGTTCTCACAATTTGTACTCTGAAATAGGCATTATTTTTATCTTCACATTTTTAGCATAAGGAAATGAGACTTAGAGTTTTAACTAAATTACTCAAGGTAACACAGGCAGTAAATATCAGAGCAGAAACAAAATCAAATCTGTCCTAAATCCAGAAACCTCTAACATGATCAATTTTGTCCATGACATAGGTGCAGACATAAAATATAATTGTCGTGAATCACTTGAGATAGTCTATACACAAAGATATAGACTCCATTTTTAATAAAATTATTCTTTGAAGTACTGGATAATATCAGTATTCACCTCTAGCAATGACACAGGGCGCAGGTGTTGTTATTTTCTCCTTGGGAGCCTAAGGAAGTCTGTTTCTCAAAGCTTTTCTGAGGATGTCCTCTCAAGCCCTCACCCAGTCCCTCAACTGCATCCCTGGACTGTTTACCTAAAATTTAGCTACATGGGGCCACCTAAAGATTGACTCCTTACAGTTGCCAGAATTGTAGGAAGTTGGCACCATCTACCTACGTCCCGTGTGCCACCAACACCACAGATATCATAGTTCCTTCTTTCTTCCTTGCCCAGGGAAACAGGTGTTTCTTTCAAATTCCCATTAACATTCTTGTTCTCTTCAATTTTCTCTTTTCCTCATCTGTTTGGTATTATTCAGAGTTGTAATCTGTTATTCAGTCATGAGCCACATAACAACCTTTCAGTCGATGACAGACTGCATATATGATGGTGGTATACCACAGAGCCAAAGCAGCAGGCTGTACTTTCTAGGTTTGTGGAAGCACACTCTATGATATTTACACAATGACGACATTGCCTAACAATACATTTCTCAGAAAGTATCCCTGTGGTTAAACAGCTCATGACTGTATAGGAGAAGGAAACTGTATTATGGTTGTTCAGTAGAAATAAAAGTTGTAAAGAAATCACATTTATTGGGTTGTCAGAAAAGCCATGATGCATTTTTGCAGCGAAAAACATAGAAAAAAATATGTCATGACTTTGCCGACAACCTAATAGAATAAAGCATATCAATCAACAAAGTATCAGGAAGGGCCAGATAAACAGGAGAAAAACTTAGAAGAATTGCACCAGAAAAAGGAGAACCGAGAGCACCCTGGGCCTTTGGTCACAGTTCAGTAGAAGCTGAACTGCACATATAGACTACACCCCCTTTCCATGATAATGACGTTATAACTAGGGGATTTGCTGTTCCCATGGTTTTCATTTTTTCTAAATGGTCCAACTCCCTACATTAATGTACAAAGAGGTATTTGTTTTCCTTTTTAGATATTTTCTAGAACTCTATTCCCAAATCAGAATTTCTAGATTAGAGAACATTATTGATTTTGATTTTGAATTTTGCTTTGTGGATTTAATCTGCATATAAAAATATATTATTTATTTTTTATAGTGTTTTAAGTTTGATACAGGAGAATGCTACTGTGTTCTATTTACAGATTATAGTTGGGTGCCATTTATCAAAGATGAACTATTGAATGTTAATATAGATCATTGGTCAGACCTAGCGGAAATATGTCATGTGTCTTTCTGTTTTTCTGGTCCTCTGCATAGTCTTATACAGCAGCATAGAAATAAGTACAAGAGTAAGTGTTACAATTGTTTCATGTAGTGAGTTTCCTATATATGCTAGGTTTCTGGCAGACCCTGGATACAGATTTTTCCACTTCAGACATCTGCATGCATAATGAATATTGTGGGGGGGGGTTTCCCTTGTTACTCTGGATATTATGGAGTAATGGAAGAGTAACCAAAGACGATTTGTCCTATAATGTTTGGCTGGCTTTCACTGGGCTATTAAAATGTTTGGACCAAACTGTTTATCCAGCAGATGGCACTCTTAGTCCTTGGACCCCAAAGTTCACAAATTAACGACTGTTCCTTTGCGTTGGTTACAGACCATAACAGAATCCATGCCACTGACGTCTTACATGCTGTTTGGTATCTTACTACACAGCCTATCCCAGGCCTCTCCACTGTGATTAATGATCATGGATCAGCAAGTGATTCAGGTACATGCTAAGTACATCTGTGAACTATGGGAACAAGAGTGTTGTGTGCTTTTTTTTTCAAAGGAGGCCAAGACAAATGATATCAATTTAATACTTTTTTTTTTTTTTACAATTTAGTACTTTTTAAAAAATTCTGTTACTTTCATCTTCTCTTTACAGATTCTGACAGTGGATTTACACATGGACATATGGGATATGTATTCTCAAAAATGTATAATGTGCCAGATGATAAATACGGATGTCTGTCGGGAAATATCCCTGCCTTAGAATTGATGGCACTGTATGTGGCTGCAGCCATGCATGACTACGATCACCCAGGAAGGACTAATGCATTCCTGGTTGCAACTAGTGCTCCTCAGGTAAATCTTTCAATTTCGATTAGGGGAAATAATTCAATTGAGAGATTTCTCTGAAGAAAATTAATTTTATAAATTTTACTTATAATAGACACTGAGTGAATATGGGCCAAACTATATTTAGCCCTGAGATAAAATTCTTAGAGACCACGCTAACTTTGAAAAGATAGTATGGTTTGTTCCAAGTTATTAACAGTAGGTATGCAACTTCCTTACCCATGGGAATTCCTTCTCAGTGTTCTTCTAAGGAAGTACTTGAATTCATGTTGATGAATTTCTTCAACAAAGAAAATCCAACCTATACTAAAGTCCCTCTCTGAAAATATTAGAGAATCGAATATGTCTTGGACTTTTAAGAATGTAAGGCTACTTTGTATATAAACCTCATCCCTTTGAAATATATTTATTATAACAATTATGATTCTTATGGCATTTATATTGGTTAGTAGGAATTTAAAATCATTTTATTTGAGGGAGATTTTTTTCTTAAACATAGTATTCCAAAAACAATGAAAAAGTTCATCTCAGCGTCTATTTAAATCTAAGTAAAAAATTAACCACTAAATATCTAAGTATCTTCATCTATACAGTTAAACTCAGTAAGGTGTTTTATTATTTAATCAGCTAACCCATGTTATTAAAGATCCCAAGATCCTATTTTTCTTTCTAGAGGATCTAGAGGCCAATCTGGTCCTGTACTCTGTTTTTTTTTTTTCTTGTTTGCTATATGTCTTTCACCCCATTCCCATCCATTTCTACTTCCTGTCTTATATTCTAGTCTAGAATTTTCCTCTAACCTATAGGCAATAAAAATATACTGATTTTTTTCCCCTTGACGACCTACTTTAACTTCTTTCTTTGTGTCCTTTAAACATCAGTATTATTTTTCTAGAGATAGTCATGCAAATCCCCTTGCCAGCCGTATATGCCATTCAAATTTTCCTATACATTTATGCATTTTTACTTACCTCAGTATTAATTTTCATTAATAATAGTCTTTCCTTTTTGTCCCTAGTGCTTTTTTCCTCTATCCTCTATCTACCACACTGGTCTTCAAGCATTGTTTAGGCAACTTCCCCTTCTTCTGCAGCTTCCCTCAGCATGATTAGAAAATTTCAAACAAGTAGATAATGACCGTATACCTCAGTTACTAGGGAAAGGGTGACATTTCCTATGGCTGATTGTGGGTTGAGAATGTTTTAAATTATGGGGCTCTTGTGGATTCCATTCCTCTTTATTAGTTGTGTGTGTTTATGGAGAGGTCATTCTTATTCTCGATGCAAGAAGTAGTTGAGTTACATCTCAGGGATATTAATACATATGCATGTTTTTATGGTTAAATTCCTATGCCCTTCAAAGAAATCTAATAAAATCTAACCCCAAGCCTCTCATGTGCAAGTGTTTGGAATAAAGTTTCAAGGATATGAACTTTATTTAACAAAAAAAGGAAATTTAACCAAGAAAATTAATCAACAGTCAATGTGCAGCAATAAGTGATTTTTAATAACCAGCAGTCACAAAATTACATTTCTGTGTTCCATGACAAACAAGAATTCCAAAAGCATTACGAATTTTCATTTGGTTTTGTGATTTTTGTTTTTTAACTTAAAAAATTGAACTCTTTACTCTCTTATTTGCCTAGGCGGTGCTCTATAATGATCGCTCAGTTTTGGAGAATCATCACGCAGCAGCTGCATGGAGTCTTTTCATGTCCCGGCCAGAGTATAACTTCTTAGTTAACCTTGACCATGTGGAATTTAAGCATTTTCGTTTTCTTGTCATTGAAGCAATTTTGGCCACTGACTTGAAGAAACACTTTGACTTCGTGGCCAAATTTAATGCCAAGGTAACTAGATTTGTACCATTCTTCATTTTATGTCCACATTGAAAGATGTCATGGGACTGAAATGTTGAACAAAACTCATTGCTGTCCCCTCTTATATGTCAAATGTAAAAATGAAATGCAATATAATGTTTAACCAGAAGTGGATAAATAGGCATTGGTCCCAATCTAGGAACCTGAAGTTGAGGTGCTATCTACATATATTACACTTTGTGCTGCAGATAAATAATAAAATTCTAACCATCATTGTGTTTTTGTTTGATTTCATTTGATCTCATTTCTGTGGTTCACTAACATAAATCACCTGGCAGTAGAAAATCAAAATCCTGAAGTAAAACTTCATACATCAAAATAAATGCCTAAATGTTAATTCAAGAAAATTTCTTATTTGTTAGCTACATGATTTTAATACTAACTGATAACCTTTGTTAATTTTAACCAGTATTTACTTATTTATGTATTTGTTTTCAATTCCATATTTAAAAATTATATTATCCATTATTTATTATTTTATTTTCCTGATGAACTATTTTACTGTTTATGCGAGCCAGTAACATTATTTTAAAAGCTGAAAAATTCCTCATTACTTGTTATTCTGATCTCTACCTGGTAGGAAGACAGTAAATATTCTATCATTTATTCTCCTGTTCAACTTCAGCTTTCATTGAGGCAAAACACATTTTAACTTTTTTCTCAAACAGGTGAATGATGATGTTGGAATAGATTGGACCAATGAAAATGATCGTCTACTGGTTTGTCAAATGTGTATAAAGTTGGCTGATATCAATGGGCCAGCTAAATGTAAAGAGCTTCATCTTCAGTGGACAGAGGGTATTGTCAATGAATTTTATGAACAGGTAATTAATTTAACTGTTTATCTTAATCCATACCTAGCTGTTCATAACTTCACCAAAGTTTCCAAAAGCTGTGAAAATGTGATGAATCTATTTCATATTCAGCCTATCATCAGCAAATGTGGTGGCCAATTTTAATCAAAGGATAAAAAAATGTTAAAAATTTGGACTAAATTGTAAACATAAAAACTCTAAGATAAAGTTATTTGCAAGTATTGAGAAAAGATGTTAAAGTAATAGAGACATTAGGAAAAACCACTGAAATATTGTTCTTTTACAAATTTATTATAATAGAAGCCAGTTTATATTTATAAATATGGATATATACTATTGGATTGTTGGAAAAGTCATGATGCATTTTTGCAATGAAAAACATAGAAAAAAAAGTCATGACTTTTCCGACAACTCAATGGATTAATTTTGTTTACTTTTCTAATGGAGTTAATAACAACAGTATATGAAAAAGCTTTAAAAACTAGGCATTTTACTTGACATGATAATATGAGGGTTCGCACACTACCAAAAAGCTATGCATGAGGGGACCTTCCCCACATTACCCTACACTGACCAGATTACACTTGAAACTTTGTGTTTAGTGCTGTGAACCACTCTCTTAAGAGGAACCTGGAGATAGTGGAGCATGGGTAAAGGACAAAGATCGGTAACATAAAAGCACATGAAAGAAGTGAAGATATTTACCCCGGGGGGAAGTAAAGTTGATATAAAAACTATCTTCAGATACTTAAAAGATTGACACACCCATTTAGGATTAGGTTTATCATGAAGAAGTTGTGGAGATTAAAGAAGATAAATTATATAACATACTTGACTTAGGATCTGATTTATAAGAAACATTACATTCCTCTCTGCTTCCCTAACAACGATATGAATGTCACTAGCTTATAGAAGTTATGGGGAGATAGATAGCAGGTCAATATAAAAAAGAAATTTGTATTGCTAAAGGCATCCAGCAGTAGGATGAGGCACCTTTTTAATAAATAATAAATTGCTTGTCAATGGACACATTTAAAGAGAGATTAGAAAGAACTTTTATGAGTATTATACACAAGATTCATATAAAGAATAAAAGGTTTGTGCTAGAAAATAATGTATTTCCTAGGAATGAGATTAATTCATAATCAATCCTGAAATATTGAAATACAGGAAAAATATAAAGAAAGATGAAAATCAGCTTATAATAATTTCCAGTACATTGGCATAACAATTGTTGACATATCAGTATATTTCTTCATTAATTTTGGTAGATAACTTCAGGTTAATAATCTGATTTTTTTCAGAAAGACTTGAAATAGTTAAAAATAAAACACTTATAGAGTGATCCTATTAATCATATAGAAAAATATAAATGTAGAAACTGCAGAATCACAGAAGATGTAATTCACCAAAAAGCTAGGAAAAGGTAGGAACTTTAGTTGAGCAATACAGTATTTTAAGATTTTTGGTAGCCATGGCAAAAAAGGAAAACATGATAGATTATGTATTTGCTTGATAATTATTCTAGCATTTGTTTTATGATACATTTATACTCTAATATAAGGTATACTACTGAGATAAGAAATATAATTTACTGAGACATTAAAACATTTCATGGATTTCCCCTTGATCAAAAACTGAAACCTCAAGGTCACAAAAATGGTAAATGGAAACAAAGCATTTCTATAGGAATCTCAGTAATTTGGGTTGAATCTCTTAGCAATAAAGAGGGAATTCTCACATAAATGTCTGGGTTCTTGCATATTTGCAAATTCCAGATACCAAGTGAATGTCAATTTTACTGTCTTTTAAACTTTTCTTGTTATTTACCTTTCTGAATCCTATGTCTAGGGTGATGAAGAGGCCAGCCTTGGATTACCAATAAGCCCCTTCATGGACCGCTCTGCTCCTCAGTTGGCCAATCTTCAGGAATCCTTTATCTCTCACATTGTGGGTCCCCTCTGCAACTCCTATGATTCAGCAGGACTGATGCCAGGGAAATGGGTGGAAGACAGTGATGAGTCAGGAGATACCGATGACCCAGAAGAAGAAGAGGAGGAGGAAGAAGATGCACCAAATGAAGAGGAAACCTGTGAAAATAATGAATCTCCAGGTAAGTTATAAAATCTATTTCTAGGTTCCGATGACTCATTTTTCTCATGAATTACAAACTTTGAGTCCACGTATCATCATCTGCTGCATTTGATTATGGATAGTCCCCTTCTCCAATGTCAAAATAAGAGAATGTACAGTCTCGGGATCTGTAATAATATGATGTTCATACAAAGATATGTTCTCTGTCATGAAGTGTAAAAAAAAAATAGTTTAAGCCTATTCTTCAGAGTATCTTAATGATTTAGAAATGAAAGGAATTTCAGGTACTGTATAGACCAACTATAGGCTTTGTCAGCTTGTTTAAGGGAAGGCCATGGAAAGCAGTAAGAGGTAGTAATCACTCGTTCATTCAGCAAATATTTATTGAGCACATACTCTGTGCCAGGCATGTTTCCAGGTACTGAAGACAGAGCTGTGAACAAATCAGACAAAAGAGTAAATAAATCCTTGCCCTTTTAGACTTATATTCCAGTGGAGTCAACAGGCACTAAGTAAGACAAATTGGTAAATCTAAGTTTGTTAGGTACTGATAAATGCTAGAATAACTTAAAAAAAAAAGCTGAAGGGAAAGGAAGTTAAAATTAAAAGGATAAAATTTTAGATAAGGTAGCCATGGAAGGTCTAAATAAGAAAGATTTTTTTACATTTTAAAGAGACCTGAAAGGAGTAAAGGAATGGCCCATAAAGACAGATATGGAAAGAATATTCCAAGGAGATGGGAAAGCAAGCCATGTAAAAGTCCTGAGGTGGGCTGGCTGGGTGTTCAAGGAGCATCGGGAGAGTTGGGGTGGCTGGAGCAGAGAAAAGGGGGTGGAGAGCAGCAGGGGAGAGAGAGAGAGAGAGAGAGAGAGAGAGAGA